CGAGGAGCAGCTTTGGGATCTCTGTGTGCCCCAGGAGAAGCTTTGGGGTCTCTGTGTGCCCCAGGAGAAGCTTTGGGGTCTCTGTATGCCCCTAGGAGAAGCTCTGGGGTCTCCATGGAAAGGTGTAGCAGCTCCCACTCCTCCGTCCTGGCTCCCCATCCCATCTCACCCACCCTCTGAGGTTACCCCTGACGTCAGTTCACGGCTCGGCTCACGAGCGGCGTCCGAGGGAAGAGGCAGCCTGTGAGCCCGAGTTGTGTAACCGTGACCTGGGGAACACGCTCCTCGGGGGGTGGGCGAGCGGGTGGACAGGCAGGCACGGGGCTTCCCACCGGCGGCTGGCTGGACGCCCTGGGCAGCTCTGGAATGCTCAGCGTCCTCCCCTCGAGGCTGGTTTCTCGCGGAAGACCGGTGCCCCCTGCGACGGGAAGATGCCGGGTGGGTGAGCGGAGGAAGGGCGGGAGGGCTGCGGCAGGATGAACCCTCACTCTCTCTTGCTCCCACAGGCAGAAGAATCCCTGAGGCGTCTGCGCCAGCCGCTGCACCTGAGGCTCCCAATCCAGGAAATCCACGACAAGGACTGATGTGGTTTTGTTTCAATCAGAACTGCCCTCAGAGCTGACACCGACGTTTCGTTCCCCTGCAAAAACTGGGTATTTTTGACCACTGTGCTTTCGAAAGTTGCAATAAACAGCTGTAGAAGTGCATCGGGCACTGGACAGTTCGGGTTTGCCTGTCTGTTTGGGATTTTTAAACCCCCTGGAGAAGCTGCTGGAGCCCAGCTCCTGAAGACGTTTGCAGACCTCGTGAGTAAAACGGAGGCGTTCTGCCGGCCGGCAAAACGACGGGGGTGTTTCACAGAGCGAGGGCCGTGTTTTTACTGCCCTTTACTGCGGCGCGGCGGGAGCTCAGAGGATCATTCACTCCGAGGAGTAAGGATTTTTCTCCTGGAACGGCCGTTCCCTTTTCCCTCGCTCTCTGCATTGACTGTGCTGGCCCAACACCACTGGTGGAGCTTACACCCTGCGTCACACGTCGGCTTTATGAGTAAGGATTGCTGGGAAAGGAAAATGTCTCAACCTCATTTAGTATAAAATCACGTTTTATTGAAAGAGTTTATCAAAACATAATTTGTACAAAGCTTAGAAGCAGCCGTGGTAGGATTTAACATCCGAGACGCGCAACGCAGCACAGGGAAAGATTTGACTGCAGCAGAGCCAGTAAATCAATTATTTTATACCCAGGAAACTGGATTAAGACACTTTTCTCAGCTCAGTTTTTCCACTGTCCCCCAGAATTGAGCAGATGTGCCAATACCGGAAAAACACGTGGTATTTGCCACACGTGAGCGTGGCTGCTGGTGCTGCAGCAGTAACCATGCTGCGGTGAGAAACGCTCCATCGCGTTTACACGCACAAGGACAGCGCACGGCGGGTGCCCTGGGGGCCAAGGGGAGGAAGAGGCTGGTCCCGCAGCAAGGCCTGCAGCCGGAAGGTTGGCGTGTCGTGGTTTGTGGAGCGGCCGAGGTGTCCGGCTGTGGGTGAGCCTGGCACCGTGGGATGATTGGCGTTAGCTCTAGGGCCGTGGGCAAGGCGAGCTTACCCAGGTCGTGCTGAGCAGCTGGACGTGGTCTCCTTTCACAGAACCACAGGATGGTTTGGGCTGAAGGGACCTCAGAGCCCCCCCAGTGCCACCCCTTGCCATGGGCAGGGACACCTTCCATAGCCCAGGTTGCTCCAAGCCTCATCCAGCCTGGCCTTGGACACTCCCAGGGATGGGGCATCCCCAGCTCCTCTGGGCAGCCTGTTCCTGTCACTGCTGCTTGCTTTTCACGGATGCAGAGCACCCGCAGGCGTGAGCTGTGCCCCAGGCGCCAGTGAGGCGCAAGCAAAAAGCAGCCCCTTGTCAGTACTAACCCTACGGCTGTACTCCAGGAGTAAAGTTCCTTTATAATGTTGAAAGTTAAAAAAATTCACGGCAGGTGGCAGGTGGATACTGCTGCCCACAGATTGAACAGATGCCTTACAAACACGCTCCCTGTAAGCTGAGCTCTTGGAAAAGCCAATCTGACACAACACTTGAAATGTTTGGGAAACAGCAGTGGGACAGTTGTTGGACAGCAGTCAGGCAAAACGATTTTAGGAAGAAAAGCAACCGCATACCCGTGTGGATGCAATCTGAGCACCGATTTGTAGGCTGGCACCGGTCAGCTCCCGAATTCCCTGAGAAGAACCGAGCGGTAACGCTAGCTATGACACTGCTTTCAGATTCTAGGTGTACTAACTAATGTTTGATCCCGATCTCGTAGAACATCACTCTCCTGCACCAAGACGGTGCGGTTTTCCCTTCCGCAGTGAGGGTGAGTTAACGGTTGTCATGGTTATGGGACCATCTACTTAGATTTTGGATGAAAATACAGCTTCTTAGTTAACATTGAGGCAAAACAAGGGATCTGCTTTTTCCCTATCGCGTTAATGTCTCTGCACACATCCACTCTGCGATGAGCTACTTTCCTGTTAACGAAAGTGAGAAGTTCCGTGAACTCCAGGGAAGAGCCGTGCTTCCTGAGTGCCTCACACAGATCTTGGATGTACCAGGAGCCATTGACAGTTTCGCGGTGCGAGAAGTAACCTGTTGTAGAAGAGGAACACAGGATTACACCCCAATGTAAGCCGTGATGCCACCTGAAAAACAGCCGCCGGAGTTGCTGCTTGCCAGCTGCATCCCTAAGGGGTTACTCACGGGTGTAAAACCTGCCCCACCAATTCCCTAAGTTCACTGGAGCTGTAGGTGGGAGATGGCTTTGGGATCACGTAGTGCTCAGCCACGGTTTGGGGACGGGGAGCTTATGGGATTGTACCTGCACACTGCAAGGGACTGAGGAGAAGATACAGGGAGGACTGGAGAGGACGGCCCTGTAGTGCCAAGAAACCTATAAGCCACCGGAATCCTACAATCCTGGAAAAGAGGGGAATGCTTGCTGCCCGCAGAGAGCTGCAAGACGGATGAGAACGCTTCCGCTTGGCAAATAAACTGCCACCTCGGTACCTTGTTTTCACTTTCCTTCACGTGTGAGACT